CTGTTTCTATAAAAGGCCCTTTTAACGTTACTTGAGAAGCAAAGGTGTGGTTTATAGAGCATTGCTTCTTTGCCTATGATTACAGATTAGATAAATCTTACAAACACTGTACTTGGTATTCCTCTAAAGCTACGTTTACACGCTGCGATTTGTCGGGCCGATTTTGAAAAAAAATCGATGTCCCTTCTTCGTTCATATTATAGTTTTCTACAACTTTACAACGGAAGAAAAATCGTTGAATCGTGAGAAAATCTGTGGTTTTGTTACAGATTTTTCTCCCGATTTTGTGAATCGCAATGTGCTGACGCGAGACTCACGACAGGTTGTTTACATACAGCGAGCAAAATCGGCCCGACAAATCGCAGCGTGTAAACGTACCTTAAGCTTTCACAACTTCGACAATGCGTATTTTGTCGTTTACACCGTGCAAATTTACATGAAGCCTCCAACTTCGAGACTTAGGTATTTCGATGTGAGATTGTTGACGTGGTGACAGCTTGCCTTCATCGCTGTCAAGATATGATGATCTGGAAGCCTGGGAAACTTCAAAGCCACAAAATAGAAGAGCTTTGTTTGATGTTGAACTATACCTCACCATGCACAAATCCTTTGTCTCAACTTCATTAAATATTATTCATCGTGGTTGCACGTTTCATCTCCTATTGGACGATTACTTCATTATACGAAAATACAATGAGCTCAATCCCCGTGACCCTGACAATAAAAACTCAGATAAAAACATAATACAATGACTTGTGTTCAGTTTCCACATCATCATATCTTGATAGACTGTGTATGGGATGCTTCAAAGTTCAAACCAACATTTTAAACTTTTCTGGTTATTTCAAATTGTGAAGTATCAGGTGACATCTCAAGGTCTTTGGGGCTAATACAAATGAGCAATAAAAACAGAATTATTCATTAAAGGAGATTATTCTGAGAAAGGAATAATGGTGGCAAGTAAGGAACCTTCTACTTGACACAAAGTCGATCTTGTGCTGGTGAATTTTTGGCCCCCGACGTTCAGAAGTATGATATCATCGTCGCTAACGTCGACTGCTTTCATTCTTTGCTTCTCGGCCTGATACGCTTCCATTTCCGCTTTCATTTTAGCCCTTTCACTTTCTACAATTTCTTTAAATTCCTCCTTAAATCGTTTGATTAAATCATCAAAATTCGATAGCAAATCAGTGCAGCTCATTTTGTGACTTTGTAAATATACACTAGGAATGATTTTCAGCTTTGTAACACAGCTTTAAATGTATGTAACAAGTGAAGCTTGTCTTTGTTTACTTCGTAGTAAAAGCACTCTATTCAGGGAACAGTTGCAAAATATAATTCTGTATCCAAATGTCGATGAATATTTAATATATTAATGCAAATGCAAAGGATTTTTATGCAAATGCTGATCACATTGATATAATCACTTGTAAAACTTTTAAACGGCTTAAATACGATTCATCAGTTTTGCATTGGGCATATTTACTGTGTCCATATATATATTGCTCTTAGGATGATTTTAAAAAAACTTTAGCGTTTGGCATAAATTATCACTAATCATAAATATTTAGTAATTGACCAATCACAGACGTTTTTCAGGGAAAATCCACGTGACTGCACATGCTTTGTTTTCAGGCGGCCCAATCTCGCAAGGGTCAGTATAGACTTTATACAGTATAAATTTATATTATATTAATTGTATATTATAGTAAAAATATGTCATAAAATATAAATTTTAAAATGAAATTGACTTGCCTATTTGATAGTGTGTGTTCTCCTTGTACTCGATGTTACTAGTATACATGAAACATGATAAAGGCTAACCATTCCCGATCGTCCGATACGACCGCACGGCATTTCGAATCGAAAATTTTCACACTCAAATCGTTTTATTCTCCAAAAAAATTCGCCAGCATGTACAACAAATGCCGTTCTTCGAAAATACGGAGGTACTTCGGCGAGATGTACAAGTTTTGGACCATATTTTAACAATGGAAATCAAAACCCATTTTATATTGAACTTGCCCAGGCCGAAAATTACTACGGCGAACGTCTGCGCAACCAGGCCTCCTTTACCGTTGGATTTACAGGGGGGGAGCAGATATTTCCGGTAACAGCCAGCCAATCACGGCCGCGATAGCGACTGTTTACATTATTTGAAATTTGATATTCAAAATAAAAACTCCTTCGATCGGATACTGTATAAAACTCGAGATGTTGTCGAAGAAACGAAAACTAAACGACGGAGATTGAGAAATTTAAGGAAGAAGTAATATACAGCGGCTCTTTGTTGGAAAGCATGGTAGAATATGATACTTTAATTCGAAATATTATCATAAATATATTAGTGGCATCCTCCCCCCTGTAAATCCAACGGTAAAGAAGGCCTGGTTGCGCAGACGTTCGCCGTAGTAATTTTCGGCCTGGGCAAGTTCAATAGAAAGTGGGTTTTGATTTCCATTGTTAAAATATGGTCCAAAACTTGTACATCTCGCCGAAGTACCTCCGTATTTTCGAAGAACGGCATTTGTTGTACATGCTGGCGAATTTTTTGAGAATAAAGCGATTTGAGTGTGAAATTTTCGATTCGAAGTGCCGTGCCGTCGTATCGACGATCGGGAATCGTTAGCCTTTATCATGTTTCATGTATACTAGTAACATCGAGTACAAAGTCTCGGAAAATATTAGTCCAACAAATGAGGAATAAAAGGAGAACACACACTATCAAACAGGCAAGTCAATTTTATTTTAAAATTTATATTTTATGACATATTTTTACTATAATATACATTAATATAATATACATTTATACTATATTAAGTCTATACTGACCCTTGCGAGATTGGGCCGCCTGTGGCTTGCCGCGTGCGAATATTCAAAAAATCCGCACTTGACTTGTAAAGCTTTCAAAATGCATTTTTACTGTTTTTTATATCCCCTATAAAACTTTAAATCGATAAAGCAGATAATAATGTTTGATGCAACATCATTTTCTAGTAACTACACGTTGAATCAGAAGGAAAAGTTATCACAATAGGTCGCGACGGTTGTTTGCAAAATGTCGCTTCTCTCTGAAATGGCTTCCTTTGCGGGAAGCCATGAAATTGAAGTCCTAACAAAAACAACCTTAGCAGTTCATTTGACTAGAACATTTTTAATAATCTCTATGGGAAACTTTGTAATTTTCTGAACTAAAAGTTTATGGTTTTGAGGTGTTTATTTTATAAAATAGCACGCGCGACAAAATGGCACTAATGTGGTTTCTCACGTCTGATTTCACCCTTTTATAGCTATGTGGAATACCTGAATATTAGGTTATCTTTTTCATGTGAGCATATAGATAGTCCTTATGAAGGCTTATTTCAAACTCAAAAAAAGAGATTGTTTTTCAGAGCCAGACTTCAAAAGAAACCGCCTGACTGACATTTTATAGCAGCCTACATTGCCGCGCAAAATAATTTTGGCTTTTAAAACGTTGCTTTCCCAATAGAAGCATGAGAATATTGAGCTAAAAGTCTTAACTGACGTGTGTTTAAAGTGTTTTTCTCTTTATGATGCTTTTCAGTGCTTTGAGTACAGAAGTGAATAGCTTTTAGTTTTGTCACCGCAGAGTGCCTTTCAAAATGTCGGCTGTCATTGTCTGTGTTAAAAACACCCCAGAAAATTCCCATTTTCTCACTTTCCCATCCTTGGTTTATATTAAAAAAAATAAATTTAAGCACTATGTGTCCTTTTAAATATATTTGAAGCAATCAAAAAACTTTAAAGATGTACAAACACTGTGTTTTGGCTTGCACACTTTGTTGAACTTGAACAATTAGTTACTGTTCTAAATTTCATGTTGTAAACAAGATGCCCCAAAAAAGCAAAGAAGTAATTTTTAAATTTTTTGATAATTTCGAAATTCATATCCCAAAAGATGAAAATTGGTTGTAATATAGATATGTATTAATTTAGTAAATTAATTTTTTTTTGGTTTTTATATAAATTTATGGAGATATTGCCCCTTTAGGTGATGAGTGACATGAAAAACAAAGTGTCACTGCTTGATAAATAAAAATACTGACTAAAAAACTAATGATATATATAGGTATGCAAGGTCATCTAAACTAAATTTGGTCAATCATATATCATTCATGTTTGATTGAAAAGATCAGACTTTTTTATGCAATTGTTTCTGAGATATTGCCATTTTTGTGAAAGCTTGGAATTCAATCATGAATTCGCCATATTGCTTGCCACTTTAGGGGGTGGTAACATTGTAACAGCTTGCCAGTTAATGAGTTTTAATTAATATGTAAACAGACATTTAATAGTTTTTTTGGTATACTGGTCCGGGCCTTTTTTAAAGATTTTCCCGTGTGAGGGGGGGGGACCTTTCTGTGAGATAATATATTAGAGGAGGATAGGAATGGCTAACGGCCACATGGTCTGGGGGCATATTTCCCCAGAAAATTTTTGAAATTTGAAACCCTGAAATGCCATTTCCTGCATTCTGAGCATTTAAGTTTGCTCTAAAATTTATGCTAAGTATACTTGTATTTGAAATAAAAGATGGAAAAAACGCACAAAAAATAAAAAATTATTAACAATAATTTATCATTACTTAGTGCCAGGTAGAAAAACGTAACAACTTAAATCGATTTTGTTAAACAAGGAGAAAGAATAAAGCCTAAAACTTACTTTTTGTTTATCAATTTGTTATTTTTCGCTGGTCTGTTTGTGTAAATTTAGGAAAAAGGGACTTTTCCTGGGGGGGGGCAAAATGTGATTTTGTGAGGGGGCATAAGGCAGACCCCCCCCGTGTGTTAAAAAAGGCCCTGATACTGGTCCTCTCATTATTTACACTACACAATGTCTTACACCAGTACTTGTCCAATTACCTATTTTATACAAAAAATACCAAAAAATGCAACCCCCCCCCAAAAAAAAAATGACTGTATTCAATAGATTAATATTTAACCCATATGTAGATTGCGACATGTGCCCAGCGTCTCCCATCCCAGGGCTTTTGGGGTGAAGACCCTGGGTATGTTGGTGAGCACTCTGTTCATTGTCATTAACCTTGGTTGATGTTGCATAATCTCATTAGCTTGCAAACTATTTTTTTCCTCTTTTCTATGTGTGCAAACAATTTATTTGCACTTTTTTGTCTTTGCAAACAATTTTTTTAAGAATTTTTCATCCCCCCCCTCCAAAAAAATAATGGTCCGTCCCTAAAGTTGATTCTTTTTAGATGGAAAAATGTGCGGACCTATGCAGAAGCATAAACTAAACTCTTTTCAATAAATTATATTTTAAAAGTATTCTACGATTCACTAACTGTACATTTAAGTCAATTCAGCCTTCGATTCAGCCATGACTCTTTCTGTTTGAATGCGCTCCAAATCGTAAAAAAGCGCAAGAATATACATCTTGTGAGACTTGTGAGTTACCATAAAATTAAAATTTCGTTCACTTTCTAGTAGAATAAAAGACCATAAAATATTCTAGCTCCTTAAATAAGTATAAATTACTGTAATTTTAGGCATTTATTAATAAACGCATGACTTGTATTTTTCGCCGTTTCGCGCCACAGCGCCAGCAATCAATCGACTAGCAACGATACAATTGCAAATCTATACAGTCTAGCGCAATTGTCTAGGGCGCATATTTGCCGTTGGTGGTTTTCCATGGGCAAGTTTTTCTTGAATTTGGTATTTTTTGTCTTTTCATTTCCCATTTTAATAACTGGAGAGGAAATAATGCAAGCTGTTGTGTATAAACCTGGTGGAGCAGAAGGTTTAAGTGTCGAGAAAGTACCTAAACCAAACGTTCAAGATGGACACATATTAATTAGAATTCATTATTTTGCAATAAACAGAGCAGATATACTACAGAGGAAAGGTTTATATCCACCACCCAAAGGAGAATCAGATATTCTGGGTTTAGAATCAGCAGGAATAATTAATGAAATTGGTTCAAACTGCAGTAAGCCGTGGAGGTTAGGCTGGCAACTTTATGTGGGTCATATACTGTAGTTGTGTGTATATGTGGGCCATATAATGCACCAGTCAAAGTAAACACCGACCCCCCCCCCCCCCGGATATAGGTGGGGATTGGCTTTGAATACCGTACCAAAACAGACAAATGCCCCACAATATGGGACAAAATTTTCTAGCAAAAGACAAAAAATGCCCCCCCCAATGAAATTGTAAGTCATGTGAGAGAATTTATCTCCTGGATAATCTCCGGGCCGCCGCATAAAACGACCACATTTTAAAATATTAATATTTTGTTCCAAAACTCAAAAGAACAATAAAAGCATTAATATAACAAACAAATGTCGAGCTTTCCATATTAACCGGTATTAACATATAGATTGAAAAGAAATTAAATTAATAATATATTTATAAAATTCCTCTCCATTTCACTTCCTTGCGACTTGCGAGCGCGCCATCTTGACCTTTGTCACATGGTATAAAATGGTAAAACCTGAGGATTCCATTGGACAAAATGGTACAAAATAGTACAAAATGGCCACAGACAATCCCCTAACAATCCCCATTATCTTCCCAGCGTAATTGGGCAGAATGACAAAACCAACAAATTCCCGACATGGTTGGGACAGAATTCGATGACAAAAAGCCACTAAATCCCCACCAAATCCCCTCTTTGTCCGGGGTGGGGGGGGTCAGGGTTTACTTTGACTGGTGCATAACTCTTTGAGTTAAGCCCCGACCACACCCAAACCACACCCATTTTCATCAAGGGCTTAACTCGAAGAAAGAAACACAACTTGGAAAGTTTGAGTTAAGCCCCGTGAAAAAAGAGGGGCTTAACTCGAAGTCATTGAAATTATTAGACGCTCGAGTTAAGCCCCAACATTTGAGGCATAAAGGCTTAACTCGAAGGGCTTAACTCGAAGATTACCTACCTCTGGTTTGGGCGTGGTTGGGGCTTAACTTGAAAAGGGCTTAACTCGAGGGGCTTAACTCGAAGATTACCTACCTCATATATACAGGGTGTATAAAAAAAGGTAATCGAACTTCAGCACACTATTGTGCACATGAATTACTTGGCGTGTGAACGAAATTTGTTCATATTCAGAAAGATCAGGCTTTTAGCTATTCAATGACATGTTTTTTATGCCAAGTGGAGAGAAAATAAGCAAGTACGAGTCCGATAAAAAAATGTTAGTCAGAATCGCATATTTTGACCTCTGTGCCTAATTATTAAAGCAGTGCATAACAAAAGAAAAGGCAATTAATTAATTTAATCACGAACTTGTCATAGCTTAGCTAAGATTTATTCCTACTTGATAATAATTATGAATATGTGCATAGTTTAATGAAGTGAAATTCATCAACTTAAGTCCTGAAGAGGGTTAATTTTCAATGGTTTTAGACCCCCACTCTCAACGGTGAAAATATGCGATTCTGACTAACATTTTTTGTCGGATTCGTATTTGTTCATTTGTTATACATTTTGGATGAAGAACATATTATTCAACAGATAAAAGCCTGATCTTTCTGAATATGAAAAAAATCGCGGTCATAGGCAGAGTCATTCAGATGTAATAGCGCACTGAAGTTTGATATTACCTTTTTTTATACACCCTGAAGTATAGACTGAGAAACAAGTTGTAACAACCTGCAGCAGATTACTGTGGCAATGCTGTTCCATGTGACAACTTGTCAACAGGATGTGTTTGCACTGCTTGTACTGTAATTCCAATTTCCAGCAGAGCATGGCAAGTGCAACCGCAAGTTTTCTTTTGGTAATTGACCTGAAAGTGTCACTTGAAAGTAAATATGAAAAGTATCTTAAGGTGGCTCGATACACTTTTAAAAAATTCAGGTGTTCAACACTTTGACATGATGTTCAAAGTTAAACTATGCATTTTTAGGATTTATTCAGCAGATATTGGGAGTTTTATATATTTTGATATCTCTACTTTCAAATTATATTAGTTTTAGTAACAGATAGTTTGTTGCTATGGCGACATACAGTACATGTACAAAATTCACTCCAAAATGGCCTATTGCCTTGTATAGTTGGAAAAGAAGCATGGTGACCCCCAATTTTTTTTCGTGCGTTATTTTACTTGGAAGAAAGTAACAATTAGCAAAATTTAGAAAAATTCTGTAATGCCTTTTTTTTGGAAAATGCGAAAATGTCTTCTGTAAAATGTTTTTGGCATATTACAGAATTTTTTTATTTTTTGTATAATGAAAGTTTTTAGTGGTGCAATATAGCATGCAAAATTTGAACACTGGTCACCAGACAAAATAGAGAGATACACTGTAGTGCATTGTTTTTTAGGGGTGCACCGGATTTCAAATCCGGCCGGAATTCCGGCCGGATTTAACGAATTATCCAGCTTCCGGCCGGATTTGGAGAAAATCCGGCCGGATTTAAATTTCTGTTTTCACCTGAAAAACTTCACCAAGAATGGGATAAACCATCAATTTGGCAGCTTTAAAGTTTAAGAAACACTTCTATTATTATAAAATATTAAGTTATTAACAAAAAGGTATTTAAAAAAGGTTTAAACACAATCAAAGAACTAAACTGACACTAACTAAAAATAGTAAAAAGCATAAACCGCCATTTTCAATACTGAATTATCACAATTTATCCCCAATTGTCCCCATTACCGGTTTATCTCAAATCCGGCCGGAATTTTTGTCCAAATCCGGTAAATCCAGTTCCGGCCGGATTTGAAAATTCCAAATCCGGTGCACCCCTATTGTTTTTCGAAAATGGAAAACTCTAATGAAGTCGGCAATTGACATAAAACTCTATAGAACACATGCAATGACGTGGGATGGCGCGAGCAACTGCTCATTTCAGGTCATTTTGAAAGTTCTTTCATTTTTTTAATCAGTTTCCGCGACCTGCGCGTAAAAATGATCACCCGGTTTTGTTCAGAACTATATCGAGCCACCTGAAGGGATTATAGACAAAGATTTTGTCCCGCTTTGCAGAACAAGTCAGAAAGCAGGATGAAATCTATTTGTCAACAGTGTCCAACCAACAACGGTGTGGGTGTTTATAAGTGGTGCGGTTTACTGTTTTGTTGCAATTTAAATGAGAGTATAAAGATTTTTAAATAATAATAATAATAATTAGGCAAACAAGAGCAAAGACTCAACATCCAACAATACATAGTACATGTATGCAAAAATTTGCCCTACTTTTCAAACTGGCAACTACCTCAACCCTTGTGATCATTGCATGGTCAACCCCAAGCCTGTATCATCACTCTTATACACTAATCATAACCAGGCTGCCCTCCTCCCCCTCCCCCCCTGGTTGAACCACTGTGTGCAGGGGTATAAAACCACCAAGCAACCCAAAACAGCTTTTGAATTTGGCTTAATTACTTTATGATGATGCATTGCTCTGTACTATATACTGTACACTGCATACTAAATGATCTAATATACACCAGATTGTTATAAGGGGAAGGGTGTAGTTTATATTTGGTGTGAGGCACAGGGTCTTAGCCAGGATTTTGGGAGTGTTTCTAAATTAATAGTACAAATAATAGTGTCTTTTCTTATAACCATATTATGATTAGTAATCATATTAAATAGTCCAGTTGACATTCATTTCTATATTTATATACAGGAAAGGAGAAAGGGTGATGGCTCTTCTTGGCAGTAAGTATATATATAGTAGTACATGAACCATTCTAGCTAGTGACACACAATATACTTGAGGGCAAGGGCGTAGGAACCGGGGGGGGGCAGGCCCCCAAGTTTTGGCAAGTGCCCTTTTTCCGGGAGCAAAGTGCCCTTTTTTTGTGTAAATTGAAAAATTCAATCTATTTTATTTCCGGAAAAATGTTTTAATTAGGAAAAAATGTGGTATATCTGGAAAAATTTTTTTGGTATGTCCGGAAAATTTTTTGACCCCTAAAATGGTACACTGACCAAAAATTTTTTGGCAGGGGGGGGAAGTTGCCAAAAATAAATTTTTGGATGCCTTTTTTTTTCGAAAAGTGCCCCTCAAAGCCTGCCCCCCCCCCCAACTTTTCGAAGCTTCCTACGCCCCTGCTTGAGGGATCAGAGGGTCAAACCACCTGAAGAATATATCAAGAACTAATTGACATTTTGAGCCAATGCCTTTTGTCTGAGCAGCCAAACTAATTTCTAGATGAAGAGCTTTCACTCTTTCAGATAGTCTAATCCTGTAAATCTTCAAGTATATAAGTATAAACTTGACTGATTTGGATACTACAGGTAATTATTATAGAATCACCAAAATATTGATGATGGAATCATTGTACTATAGAATCACCAAATATATTGATGCATATGGTGGATATTAAACTGTGGTTTTCGACAAAGCGTGTATAATAACATATTATATTATGTTATATAACTTATACTTCCAGTGGGGTTTTTTATTCTATAATTTCTCTTGTCAATAATTTCCCCTCAATTCTATGTCGCTTCCGGGCCCATGCACGTGATCTTTTACATTCCTTACATATGTTCTTTCTTGTTTAGATTGCCCTTCTCGTTTTTCCTACAGCTACAGTAGTATGTTTGATTAGGACTACAATCTCTGTTTGTGAAGTTGAATTGTGTTGTGGTAAAGAAAAGTGTTGTTGTAATGTTCGTAGTGGGTTAGATATTACCGTTTTATCATGTTGTCATAGGGTTCTGGGTTAGCTGTTCTATTATATGCATTTAAAATAAGATAAAGTTTCGTAGTTCAGGCGAGGTTGGTGGATCAACCAATTTGAAAAACATGCCCACCAGTTCTTCAGGAGTTGAGTCAGTTGATTCAGTTATAATGCTGTTGATAGTTCCTAATGGTTTGCGCGTATAATGGATTCTTGACATGTTCGAGTTTGTTGGTTCTTCCTTCTTCAGTATTCGGTAGTGTTAGATGATGGGAGTTGTGCAATGTTGACTTTTCCGTGTTTTCGTATAATGATGGTGCCAAGGAATTCACGTTGTTTTCTTGTAAGTTCTAGAGTGAACTGTATGCTTGGATCCATTGAGTTCAGTGTGTTGTGGAATGTCAACGAAGCGCCCCACTAGTCTTGGGAGGTACAAGTGTTATCTATTTCATCAATTCTTTCCATGCAGAGATTTGCAGTGACCGGGATAACGGCTCCCCATGGCACATCCATGTATTTGTTTGTTAATGTATGTCCGTTAAAGATGAAGTAGTTGGAAAGAACATACTGTAACGTAATCGTGAAACCATGTCATCAATGTCCATGTTGGTTCTATGTCTTACAGTTTTCGAGTTTGTCTTTTTTATATATATCGCATGCTCTCTGGACTGCATGGTATCGCAGTAAACAAGGGAATCGAATCAAACGGCATCATTACTTCATCGTCGGCGAAACTCCTTCACATTTTCATCGGTTAAACCATTCTTGGTCTGTAGTGGAGATACAGTACTGCCAAGAAATA